TTTAAACAGATTCGTGCACTTGTGTAAATATCCTTGAACTGTCCCTTTCCACTCCCTTCCCTACCTCCCCCCTCTTGCCAGATTCACCCAGCAGCTCTAGAGGCTGCTAACATGTGGAGCGATGGTAATAAACATCCTCTCTTTCCGACGCCCACTGGCCACAGCCCCCAGACTCTGCCCATAGAGCCTGGTGGTGTCTTCACTTGCTCGACAGTTGCATCGTCACCGCTGGCACCACCTTTGTCACAGATGTCCACGTGTTTGTCTCTGTGTTCCGCCCTCACTGTTTCCCTAAACATGTTTGTAAATTGAAGTTCGCTGTCATGTTGTTTTTAAGGATATTTGGAATTATTAAGCATAGAGAACTTTTGGTAGAAATTGGTTATGTTGTTGAGAACTTTCCTTCATTCACTAAAACCTTGTACCCGTTGTATTGGTATTCAGTTGTGCAGGTCCATGCTCTGCTTGTGATGCAATAAGGGCAGCATCCATCATTAAAGGAAAACCAAAAATAACCTGACCACTTGGGAATTTTAAGACATTTTTCTGAATAACTTGCTCTTCAAAATAATGTACTCTTAAAGAGAAAATTAAAGATAATCTATATATTATTTAAAGATTAACAAAAATGAGGAAAGTTCATTTTAAAATGTATAACTCAATGATTTATCATTAATTAAAACTGAAGATAAATAAGCTAAGTTTCAACTCAAAAAGAAAAACAAACTAGGAGGGAGAAATTTAAAGATATAAAAATAATAATCAACAAATTACAAAATAAAACAATAATCCTCCCAAAATAGAAATATGATCCCATGTAAGTTTGTTTTTTTAAAATAAATAATATGGCCAAACTTCTGGCAAACCTGATGGATATAAAGAGATATCTAAAATACACAACATTAAGAAAGAGAAAATTCTGTAATCCCAGCACTTTGGGTGGCTGAGGCAAGAGGATTGCCCGAGCCCAGGGATTCAAGATCAGCCTGGGCAATTTGGTGAGACCTCATCTCTACAATACATCAAAAAATTAGCCAGGCATGGTAGCACACACCTGTAGTTCCAGCTACTTGGAAGGCTGAGGCGGAAGGATCCAAAACCCAGTAGGTCGACACTGGGGGGCCAGGAGCATGCCACTGCACTCTAGCCTGGACAACAAAGGGAGACTCTGACTCAAAAAAGAAAGAAAGAAAGAAAGAAAGAATGAGAAAATTAGTATAACCAAGGAAACAGATGAAATTAAAATAATTATAAGAAATACTTTGTTCAAATTTAAGCCAATACATTTTTTAGTCTAGATTAAGGGTATTTTCATAGGAAAATCCTTTATCATTACCAAAATTGACTCAAAACAAGGTTGAAATCTGAACAGACTAATCGCCAAGAAGAAATTCAAAAGATTGTTAAAGGTACACTGCTTAACAAATATCCTTACCTAAATGACTTTATGAGCCTCAAGGAGCTGATTATCCCTATGGTTGTTTGTACTATTACAGAGTAAAGAATGGGAAGTTTGAATGTCCCTAAAAATATATACCAATCTCATTATGAATGTAAGTTAATATCCTAAATAGATAAATTATTAACTTATGCTAAATAGATATTAGCAAATAGAGCCCCAGAGTGTCTTAAAAGAATTATATACGATGATTAAGAATGATTTATTCCAGGAAGACAAGGATGGTGCAATATTAGGAACTCTATTAATATAATAATTACATCATTAATAAAGTACAGAATGATTGTATGGTCATTATTAACATTTTTAAAAAGCGTTTGATAAAAATGACTTCTACATTTAGAGTGGTAACTAAATTTTAAAAGAAATAAAAAAGAACTTGTAAGGCCTATCAGCATTGTTATGATTTTGGCTGTCTAAACATCTATTTGATTATTATAGTAGGAATTACTAAAGTATTGGAAATAAAGATAGCACTGCTAAAATTTTTTTAGGGTGAGTAATCAATCAGAAATCACAGTTTCCTCAGAACATCTTAAAATAAGGCTGATACTATACTTCATTTTGAATCGAGATAAAAAGGTAAATGTGTGCCCTCACAGTTTCTGTGTGTGCCTGTGAGCCACTCAAGTGGAAGTATATGGATAATTTGCACCTGCACTTTTGTTTACAGTGTGTCAGGAGCAAAGACATGTTACTTCAGCTAGAAATATTAATAAAGCGGAAATAAATCATGTAACTAAAAACTAGAGCCCAGAATTGGACACTCTCCTTAGCAAAAATAGTACCTTCTCTCTTTTTTTTATTTATATTTTTTTTAGAAATGGGATCTTGCTGTGTGACTCAGACTGGTCTCAAACTCCTAGGTTCAAGTGGTCCTCCTGCCTCAGCCTGCTGAGTAGCCAGGACAAAAGGCGTGAGCCACCATGCCCAGCTCTTTTGAGAATGACTGGTCTGGTTATCTTTATAGGAATGATTGCCTTAAAATCATTAATTTGATATTTGTTAAACTCTTATTGTTATATTTATAGTATTGTGATAGGCATTTACAGAAATGATCATAGCTCAAGCCAAGGCCATGCCCTCAGGATCACACTGCAGTATGAACTGGGTCACAGGTGCACTTTTCAGGTAGCAGAGGGCTCAGGGAGATGATGGCATTTGAGTAGGCCCCATGGGACAGGTGGAATATCCACATGTGGGGAGGAGAAAGCAAAGGATAGCACACTACAAGAACAATGTCAACAGGTAGGCATGGAGGCGGGAGCAGTGGGAGGTGTGTGTGAGATCTGGTGGTGCTCAAGCCTCACCCATGGTGAGATTACTTGAAGAACTTAAAAAAAGAACTTATTCACATTCTTTAATAAAAATGTTAAGAGTCAGACAGAGAAAGGAAGGGGGGAAGGAAGAAAAGGGGAGGGGAAGGGGAAAAGGAAAACTCCAGGGGTCCAAACCACAGTGAACCTGACCTAGTGGAGGGGAGAAAGGCTGGGACACCTGGGACTTCTGGAAACCCTGGAGATTGCGATGCACAGCAAGGGCAGGGATCTGTGGTGTCGTGTGCACTGACGAAGAGATGAAGGGATGTGGAGGATGCTGGGACAGGAGGTCGCTGAGGTGGCTGCTGGGTATTGTTGGGTTTGTGTTTGGCTCTTATTTCTGCTGCATTCACCACCACCCTCCAATTGATACCAGCCATGTGCTATTTCAGCAAAACTTCACCCCACGTGAATTCCAAGCAAATATGTCACGTGAGATGAAGAGGGGACCCTGCCGGGAATCTTGTTCCAGTTAGATTGCTGCAAGTTACCCTAGCAATATCTAACTTGAAAGAATGACCACTTCATAAGCACTCAGAATTCTGCAACTGAGTGACTGACCCAGCTGGCTGGGGCTGCCGTCATAGAAGATCACTTGGGCTTGACCATGCAGCTGGTTCCCTCAGCTGCCTTGTGGCAGAGGACCAGCGGTCATGTCTGTGAGGGTCTCGTGGCCCTCTCCAACAGGGCAACCGGGCCCAGGAGGCAGCTTATTCAGAGTGAGATGACCAGGCCACGGGGTTTCTTATGACCTGGCCTTGTAGTCTCAGACATCCTTCCTTGTACTCTGTAGCTCAGGTAGGTCACTAAGGCTGACACAGATTCAGTGGAGGGTGAACAAACCCCGTGCCTTGATGGAAGGAGTTGCATGTACCCACAAGGAAAGGGACACTGATGGCGTCACTTGGAGACTTGTACCACGATCTTAGTGTACCAAGATTATGGCATCAAAATACATAACTTGTACCACGATCTTAGTGTACCAAATCCATAGCATCAAAATACATAACTTGTACCACAGTCTAAGTGTACCAAGATTATAGCATCAAAATAGATAATTTGTGCCACAATCTTGGTGTACCAAGATTATGACATCGAAATACGTAACATGTACCACAGTCTTAGTGTACCAAAAGTATAGCATCAAAATACATACAGCAGAATTCTGGAAAATTTTAGACAGACATCAGTAAAGATGCATAGACAGGACAGCCAAAAAGAGATCTGAGTGACACAATGTGCTGACATAGTAGGTTTGTATTCTGAATTCCTTATCTGACAGTAAAGAATACATCTTCCAGGCATCCGTAGAGGAGCTGGCCCCCAGAAGGAATCACTGGATCCCCTGAGCCCTGAACCCTAACACAAAATGACATCCTCCACCCTGCAACTGGCAGAGACCGTCACAGCCGTGTCTACTCACCCACCCACTATATCCACTGCTCTGTCCTAAGTGGGGTTTTCTATTTAAAATTCCTTCCTCTGGGTGATTTTTTTTTTTTTTTTTTGTAGTTGGAGTCTCACTCTGTCACTCTGGCTAGAGTGCAGTGGCGCACTCGTGGCCACCCCAGCATCAACCTGCTGGACTCCGGCAAGCCTTCCTCCTCAGCCTTCCAAGTAGCTGGAACTACAGGCGCACACTACCTTGCTCGGCTAATTTTTGATTTATTGTAGAGACAAAGTCTCGTCAAGTTGCCCGGGCTGGTCTCAAACCCACGGGCTCAGGCAATCCACTTACCTCGGCTTCCCAAAGTGCTGGGATTATAGGCTGAGTCATCAAGCCTGGCCCTCTGGGTGATTTTTTACACATGGTATGAACCACTGGGTCTCACATTTTCTTTTAAGTTCTTCACTGTTTTGTGTTTGTTAGGAGCAGCAGGGAAGGTTTTGAGTCCACCAAGTGCCATGCTAACAACAGTTTGTACTTGTCCTGGGTTCTCTTAATTTCCCAGTAATGCTGACCTGGGAATTGAACAGGAATCGTGGCCGTCTCCTGTTTTCTATGTATTATTTTTTAAAGCCCTTTGAGGAAAAAATTGTGTTAAGATTTTTTTTTTGCTTTCTGAACTCCTGTTGCTGTGCATCCTAGCAAGACAGAGTCTGTGGGGACGCGAGAGGATGTTGCTTCCTAGCCCCCGGTGTCCTGTTCTGTGGGTCCCACCATGGTGTCCAGCTGGGTCCTTGCTGTCTTCTGCAGTAACATGGGGTCACTTGCCTTGCAGGTCGTCACGCTGTGGTACCGGGCCCCAGAAGTCCTGCTCCAGTCCAGCTACGCCACCCCCGTGGATCTCTGGAGTGTTGGCTGCGTATTTGCAGAAATGTTTCGTAGAAAGTAAGAAACACATTTTGTACCCTGTTTTCCTTGGAAAGAGGCTTCGGGGTCTCTGGTGGTTCGGGTGACAGCAGTGGCTCTTGTCTCAGGTGGTATGATGGGGACCTGCCCCTTCCAGCTCCCCCTCCCAGCCACCTCCAAGTCCCTGCACAGTCGTGCCCAGCAAAGCTGCCAACTAGAAAGTGCTAGGTGGGTGCGTTCCACTGCTCTCTGTGTTAGGCTCTTATTGGTGATGCTGGGACATGGTAAGCAGAAAGTATGCTCTGGTATTTTTAGTGAAGAAATATCCCCAGAATGGGATTCACCACAGGAGAGGAGCCAGGACCGTTAAGTCTGTGGGACTTTTAACTGACATTCTGATGGTGAGACTAGTTGAAGAAACATAATATTTAGGCTAGACCAGGGTAGTGCAGTGCTGCATCAGAAATACTCATATCTTGCCACATGGAGGCGAGTTTAGATGTGTCCACGCACTGTGGGGTGCAAGGACAGGACCAAGGATGTAGAAATCACAGAAGGAAAGACCTTTGTTAGAAGGGGTGAAATGCTACCGGCTAAACAGCTCTCTGAAGAGGAGACTGGGGCTGTCTCACAGCATGTCCTCACTGTGTGTCCAAGAGACCGGACCACCACACAGCAGAGACATTTTCAGCAGCGTTGGTGGAGCCAGTGGGTAGGCAGGTGACCTCCCGGGTCCCTCTGAGTCTGAGAGCCTGTGACTCATTTGTTTGATTTTCAGGTCACAAAGAAATAGCCAAATAATATAATAAAAACTTGCCAGGAAAATAATCCATACCTGGGTACTAAGTTCAGCCTGGTCAGAATTGAACAGAGTGCCTAGTCGTGATCCGATCTCTCTTTCTTGTCCGTTTTTATCACCATGGGAATACGTGAGCTGGGCACTGAGTGTATTCCCACTGGACATGTTATGTTTAGAACATAGCTACGTGATCGCTCACAAGGAGACATGGTCGGCCAGTGCCTGTTGGCTGGTGGATTGGTTTTAACCAAAGTTTTGTGCGTGTAATAGGTTTTGGGAACCATTTCTAGAATCAGCAATCCATTTGTCTCATAGGATGGGATCATGGCAAGGAGACCAGAGAGCACAGATGCCAGTGTAGGCTCACTGGGTGCCATGCATGGCAGGACGCCTCTCCTTTTTTTCATCCTTCCAATAAGAGGAAACTGAGAGGCAGTGGTAAACTTATGTATCTAACATCAGGCAGCTCAAAAGTAACAGGTATGAATCCAAAGAAAGGTCTGTGAGTTCTAGTCCAGTGCTGGTTTTTGACCAAGAAGAGAGGAAAAAAGTAATCTTGAGCCCAGCTGCAGTGTTTGCCAAACAGACTGAATAAGTAATTTGAAAGTGTGGTCCCTAGCAGACACATCTGCAGCACTGAGGACGCTTTTGGAAATGCAGATTCTTGGTCCCCTCCCCAGTCCTGTTGGCTCACAAGCTCTTGGGCTGGCATCCAGCAGCCTGTGTCTTAACCATCCCTCCACATGGTCTGAATGCAGCCTGCAGGTCAGAACCCTGGGGCAGGGTGGCAATGTCACCAGGGATAGGCGGTCTGTCAAGTGCCACCCTGGGCCTTTCTCACGAGAGTCTGACTCAGTACTGGGTGGGGCCTGGAGCCTTGTTTGAAAGAGTGCCTTAGGTGCTTCATCTCACGCAACAAGTGTGGAAAACATCAGATTAAGGGCTTGTGGTTAGAACCAGGAACAACCTGCTGTCAGCAGAGCAAGGTAGAACTAGGACAGTCGCTCTGCTCATCCAGGAATGACTGGGTGCAGCTGAGCTTTGCTTAGAGCAGTGCTTACTGGACTTTCACTTACGTGTCTAGAACTGCCCTCAGAGGTCCTTCTTTGGGTATGGGGAAAGGGCAGTTATTTTTCAACAGAGACTTCAACTGGCCATGATTACCAATGAAAACTGGTATTTTTTACAATATTAAAAGAAAGATAAATTTTAAGATATGTAGAATTAAGCATTCACTTCCAAGGAACTGGCTGTATTTTTAAGTATAGGCAGTCCCCACTTGTGCAACAGTCATAACCCCAAGTTTTATTTTGAAGCATTAAAAACATTTTCCACTGAAGTGGTGATGCAATTTGTAATCAGGCTTCCAGCTTAGCATGCAAAATCCTGTGTAACCGGGAACATGTATGAAACATCCATTGAACAAATTCATCAAAACCTTTTTTCTATGGGAAAATTCATTCTGGGTTCCAGATAACAGGAATCTCCCTCCCTCCATTCTGGCATTGGAACTGAGAAGTGGATGCTCAGGCTTGTGATGATGGTGGCAATACTAGGGGGACCCCCCCCAAAAAAACCAGAATTATCTTTTGTAGAGTGGCCCCTTGTAGTACAGGCTTCCCCCACTAGGTAAGTGTTCTATAAACCCATCAGCATGAGTGTACCAGCTAGCATTTGTTGTGAGAGGCTGTGTTGCAGAATAAACTTCCCAAGTTGTGGCAAACAGGTGACTGGTTCTTCCACCATGACAGTGCACCTGCCCACACCTCGCTGAGTGTTCAGCAGTTTTTGGTCTCTGTGCCCCACACTCCCTGTTCACCCGATCTCACCCAAGGGAAATGTTTTGCTGATGTGAAAGATGTAAAACAAAAACTGGCAGAAGCACAAAAGGGATCAAAATCAAAGAGTCCAAAACTATTGTGAGCAGTGGAGAAAGTCTCTCAATAGGTGTGTTGCATCAAACAGAGAGGACTTTGAAGGTGACAGAAGTGTAAGCGTGTAAGAATAAACAAACAATTTTAATAAAGAAATTCTGGGTTTTTTGGTGGTACCCCCTCATAGTTTGCTTCAGTTTGCTGGGAAAGTGAATTGTATTGGCAGACAGTCATTGGCTCTTCAGACGTACACATAAGAAGGTATCCCTTCTCCTGAAACCTTGCACAGAGGCAGTCAATTGAGAAATAATTGCTTGGAGGAGGGTGCAGTATCAGAAACCCGGTCTGCAGGCCTTGAAGGCTGAAGGACAATGAACCAGGCCCATGCTCATCTTCCTAGGGGGGGGTGTCCTGTCCCCCAGGTGCCTCCTGCTGATCAATGATGGTAGGACTGGACCCTTGTCAGTCACCTTTGGTCTTTCTGGACATGGCGTGTTTCTTGCTTGTGCCAGATGGGTTCTGGGGTCAGCCTTCAGCTTGACCTGATTCTGACTTGACTCCTGACTCAATATTGACCCAATGGAAACTTAATGAGCAATGGATTCTGAAAGCCAATTCCTTCAGTACTTAGGCTAATTCTAAAACAGGGAATCCTGGCATGTGTCCATTCTGGGTACCTACTTGGCGCTGAGGCGATAATTACCAAATTTTGTCATTCCTTTATCACTTTCGTTTGTGCCATATTCTTTGTTTTTTAATTTTTGGGGAGGGGACAGGATTTCACTCTGTTGCCCAGGCTGGAGCACAGTAGTACAATCATAGCTCACTGCAGCTTGACCTCCCGGGTTCAAGTGATCCTCCCACCTCAGCCTCCTGAGTAGCTGGGACTACAGGTGTGCACCAATACATCCAACTGATTTTTTTAAATTTTGGGGGCAGGGTCTCACTATGTTGCCCAGATTGGTCTCAAACTCTTGGGCTCAATCAATCTTCCTGCCTCAGCCTCCCAAAGTCCTAGGATTACAGATATGCCACTGCCCTCAGCCATTTCTGCCATATTCTTATGGCAACAGTACTATTATCTACTTAATTTTTTATACTCTATATCAATTTGCTTTTTTATTTAGCCACGTTATAAACATAAGTACAGCCATGTGTTGCTTAATGGCCAACCTACATTCTGAGAAATGTGTCGTTAGGTGATTATGTTATTTTGTAAACATGGTAGTGTATTCTCACACAAACCTAGATGGGCTAGCCTGGGCTGTGCCATCCATCCTGTTCCTCCTAGGAGCCAGGCCTGTCCAGCATGTTACTGTGGTAAACACTATAGGCAGTTATAGCACAACAGTACTTGTGTAGCTAACATAAATATACAAATCTAGAAAAGACACAGTAAAAAAGGATGGTATGAAAGACAGAAAACAGTTCACCTATCTAGAGCCCTTACCATGCATGGAGCTCGCAGGACTAGAGGTTGCCGTGGGAGAGTTGCCATGTAAAAATAAACCAACAATTTTAATAAAGAAATTCTGGGTTTTTTGGTGGTACCCCCTCATAGTTTGTGTGAGTCATAGTGAGTGTGTGAAGGCCCAGGACATTGCACAGCACTACTCTGGATTTTATGAACACTGGATGCTTCGGCCACAATAAGTTCATTTTAAACATCTATCTTTTTCAAGAATAAATTCATCTTGGCTTACTGCAGTATTACTACTTTTTAAAACTTTTTGATGTAATAACAACTTAAAACACAATGTGCATCTGCACAAAATATGTGTTTTCTTTATATCCTTATTGCATAGGCTTTTTATTTTAAATTCTTAAATTTTTTTTACTTTTTAAACTTTTATTAAAAACTAAAGCACACACACATATACACTGACCTGGCCTACACAGGGTTGGGGCCATCAGCATCAGTGTCTCTCACTGCCACATCTCGTCCCATTGAAGGTCTTCAGGGGCAACAGCACAGTGGAGCCATCACCTCCTGTGATGGTAGTGCCCCCTGGACACTACAATGTCACTAGAGAGTAGGATCTGTCTCCATTGTAATCTTATGGGACCATCCTCACATGTGCTGTTCATTGTTGACCAAACCATCATTATGAGGCTTGTGCTATATATAAAATCACAAATCTGGTGAACCAGTTATTTGTCTGATACATGTTAGAATGAATACATAACCATGAAAACAGCTAAGAAATATATGCACATTTTTGTGGACTTACCCCTGAAGTCATCTTAGGTGTCACTCACAATATGTGTCTCAAGTTGGAAGCCCTTTAACAGGGTGTTCCATCCAGTCTATAAGTAAAACTACAAAACAAAAAGCATACAGAATGACTCCTGTGTGCAGGGCCCAC